GTCGGGTACAGTGCATGGGGTCTCAAAGAGACCTGACTTAAAGAGACTGAGCACGCATATGTGGCCAAGAGCTACTATAACTTGGGCATCAATGTTAATATCAAGATGCTGGGGCTACAGTGGTTTACAAAGCAGGGACGATTCTGCCTGCAGGGAGCTTACTGTCTAATGGGTCATAGTAACCGTTCTGGTACCATCCTCTGTATGTGTGCTACTCAGGAGAAGTACCAGGAACCACGAGATAGTCTAATGGGAAGGATGATGATAAGGATGATGATTTTTGGTTGTGCCACATGGCTTGCAGGATCTTAGTTCCCCAGTCAGGAATTGAACCCAGGCCCTTGGCAGTGAACCGACCACTAGACTGCCAGGGAAGTCCCGGGAAGGATTATTTTCGATTAGGGGTCAGGAAAGGACAATTTGAGAAAGTAACATTTAAAGCAAGAGCTGGAGAGGTGTAGGAGTTGAGCCAGGTGAAAATCAGGGGATATGCATTCCAGGCAGAGAGAATAGCAGGTGTGAAAGATATGGAGACAGATCCTTGGCCATCTGGAGGCTGAGAGAAGGCCAGCGGGGCAGGGACAAGAAACAAAAGAGGGGAGATGAAACAGAGGAGGCTGGGGAGGGAGAAGGCGGGCCAGACCTCACAGACCTGCGTTAGGACTTTGGATATAAACATAAGTGCACTGGGCGGGAAAGTGGTGCCGTTAGACTCATGTTTTACAAAGCTGGCTCTGGGATCTGTGTAGAGAATGAACTGGGGACGAGGGGGTGTGCAAGGAGAGAAGTGGAGGTGAATTCAGTTGCCTAAGGGAGATATGATGGCATTTCCGAGGTGATAGAAGTATTTAAAGACTTGAGGGCAACACTTGTGGCTCAGTGGTAAAGAATTCGCTTGCCAATGCAGGAGACACAGGTTCAATTCCTGGTCTGGGATGATCCCACATGCTGCAGAGCCCAGATGCCACAACTATTCAGCCTGTGCTCCGGAGCCGGGGAGCTGCAATTACTGAGCCTGCATGCTCTAGAGGCCCATTCCCTACAATGGGAGAGGCCAGAACAATGAGAAGCCCATACACAGCAACTAGAGAATAGCACCCCCTCACCACAACTAGAGAAAAGCCTGCACAGCAACGAAGACCCAGCACAGTCAACAATACATAAGAGATAAAATAAAACAGGTTTTTCTCAGGCTCTTTCCTTGGTATTCCAGGCCAATTTTACACAAAGCAAACAGCAAATATTTGAACCATGCCAGTCCGTCCCACATGTGACCTGTTTTTGCTTGGAGTTACCAGAGATCTGTTGATGTCATAGGGCCATCCCCCTGCCTCCAAGCTGGACCACACCTGACAGGAGCTTAAGGCTTTCCTGAGAAAGCTTTTGCAATTTCTATGATCTCTGCTTGTATTTACAGTAATTACTGTTAGTAAATCTCTATCTGTGTTTCATTGGAATGCCTCTTGCTCTGATGTTCCTTGATTCTTGATGGAGATAAAGATGCTAAAAGAAGAAGTCTGGGCTGCCAAGCACAAATGGTGTTCTGACAGTTCTGAGTCATGTCTGTCTATTCCACAGCCAAAGTGACTTGTTAGCTACAAAAAAAATGCCTGAGTATCCCTAGAAGAGGGATTTGATTAGATTTTGTAGCTGTTTAGCTCACTGCCAAGTTCTTTCCCTTTGCTACTCAAGTGTGGTCCACGGACCCAGCAACATCACCTCAGAGCTTGATGCAGGATTGAATCAGACTCTGCATTTTATCCATTCCCCACGGGGCTTCCCAGGGGATGCTAGTGGTGAAGAAAGTGAAAGTGAAGTTGCTCAGTCATGTCTGACTCTTTGTGACCCCATGGATTGTAGCCTACTAGGATCCTCCGTCCATGGGATTTTCCAGGCAAGAGTACTGGAGTGGGTTGCCATTTCCTTTTCCAGGGGATCCTCCTGACTCAGGAATCGAACCCAGGTTTCCCACATTGTAGGCAGACGCTTTACTGTCTGAGCCACCAGGTTGGAAGTCTAGTGGTAAAGAACCCACCTGCCAATGCAGGAGACAGACATAAGAGATGCAGGTTCAGTTCCTGGGTCAGGAGGATCCCCTGGAGGAGGGCATGACAACCCACTCCAGTATTCTTCCTGGAGAATCTCATGGATAGAGAAGCCTGGTGGGCTACAATCCATGGGGTTGCAAAGAGTTGGACATGACTGAAGTGACTTAGCAAGCACGCATTGGGCCTTTCCTGGTGGCTCAGTAGTAAAGAATCTGCCTGCCAATGCAGGAGACACGGGTTCCATCCCTGAGTCAGGAAGATTCCTTGGAGAAGGAAATGGCAACCTGCTCCAATATTCTTGCCTGGAGAGTCCCATGAACAGAGGAGCCTGGTGGGCCACAGTCCATGGGTCTCAAAAGACTTAGTGACTAAATGACAGTAACCAGGCAATTCATAGGAACGTTGGTTTTGAGAAGCCAACGTTTTGAGAAACGTTGGTTTCAGGTCACCCTAGGGCCATCTAAAAGTGGGTGGGCAGGGGCAGTCACAAGATACTTGAAATGCTGCGAGCTTCGGCAAGCGGTGAGGGAGACCGGACTGGTCCAACAGGAACTGGATTTTCTCTGGAAGTTCCTGGTAGCTCCCAAGTCACCCAGAGCGGTTCAGAGACAATGCTGTTTCCTGGTTGTGTGACTGGTGCAAGGCCCTGCGGGGGACCCACCCCTGGTGCTGAAATGCTGGAGGTGGAGAGAGCTTGTCCCTGGGTAGGACTCCCCTCCCCCCACAACATGGAGAGGGCTTGGTCCTTGTCCTCTTAGTCTGGTCCTTGTTCTCTCTGTGGGTGGTTAGGCCGACTCTGGCCTCCTTGCATTACCATGTAAATTGGATTGTTGTTGTTTAGTCGCTCAGTCCTGTCTGACTCTTTGTGGCCCCATGGACTGCAGCACATCTGGCTTCCCCGTCCTTCACCATCTCCTGGGGCTCGCTCAAATTGACGTCCATTGACTCGGTGATGCCATCCAAAATGGATAGCCATTGGGAATTTGCTGTATGACTCAGGGAACTCAAAGCCAGGCTTGGTAATGGCCTGGCGGGGTGGGATGGGGTGGGAGATGGGAGGGATGTTCCAGTGGGAGGGGATGTAGGTAAACCTCTGGCTGATTCATGCTGATATTAGGTAGAAACCAACACAATATTGTAAAGCAATTATCCTTCAATTAAGAAAAAAAAAAAAAAGCTTTGGTGGAACAGAAGATCCAGATCCAGGGGTTCTGAAAGCTTTGCCCACACTGTGTGGTCGACTGCTCCAGGTCAGTGACCTCTGCCCTCCGCCCAAGGGGTGTGTGACACAGACACCAGATCCAGCCCGTAAAAACAAAGGCATTGTGTTTTATTAACACGACCGCTCTCCTGAGGAGTGTTTCAAGGCACAAAACCCAGGCTAGAATCAAGTTGTTTTCCTCTGTCTTCCCTGGGACTGGTCTTCCCACAGCATCAGACAAAAGGGACCCAATCTTAAAGCCGCTTAAAGCATGAGGTTTGTAAATACTGTAAAATCAAACACTACGTTTGGCTTTTATTTACTGTAACTCGTTCACATCACTCAGCACGGCAACGGCTTTATCAGGGCTCCTTGGCCTTTGTTCTTTTGTCTTTGGTCCTGCCGCGTCTCCTCTGCCCGCTCCCTCCTGCCCACCAGCCCCGGTCCCTCCTGCCTGCGCCCCTCCTGCCCCCTGACCCATCACTCCAGTGTCTTCCTCGCCTGTTCCCACTTAACCTCCTGCCCCTTCTCCTCCCCTCCTGCCTCTCATGCTGGCTCTGGGATTTTCTGAAATGTCTCCGCTCCTGCTCCCTCCTCGCACTTTCATTTCCAGAGGCTGGCTTCCTCACTCTCTCGACACCCCCTGCCTCTCAGGGCTATTTTTCTCTTCCCTCCCAAGATCCACCACAGAGTTTTTTCATTTCCCCCTTTTCTCTGAAGGCGATAGGGGGATCAGAGAATGAGAGATTTCAGAGTCAACAGGACACAGCCTGCGTTAACACGGACAGTTGACTTTCCGAGTCAGAAAGGCTTCTTCAGCGCCTTGGGTGGCAGCTGCCTTGTCCCTCCTCAGAGCAGGATGGGTGAGAAGAGGACAGAGCCACAGGTCCGTCCCCCCTCACCTCCCACCCCAAGTCTCCTCACCATCACTTCCGCCCCAGCCCTTCCATTCCTGTCTCAGGACACCCCCCATCCCAACACACACACCCACCCCCTAGGTGCCCGCGTGGCAGACAGGTTTGTTCCGGCTCCGCTGAGACCTTGGGCCGCCTCCTCCAGGGTCCCTCCCTGCTCCCCAGTCAGCCTGCTGTGTGCTTCACGCCCCCAGGGTGATCCCTTCGAGACAGGAGTCTATTTTGAGGTGAAGGAGAGACAGCAGCAGTGGGGTTCCTTCCCAGGTGCAGCTCGTGGGTCCGGGAGGCGCCAGCAGCGGTCCTACAGTCGGAGGAACAGGAAGCTCTCTCCAAGCCCCCTGCCACCCAGGGTCATGGCCAGTCAGTCCACGGGGTGCTAAACAACATTCTTGAGGGACGGGGGTCTCTCTGTGCCTCTGGGCAAAGCGGTGTCACAATACAGAAAACCAAGAGGGGAAACAGAGCCCTGAAGAGACACTCTCGGAACCACGAAACAGTGGTTCTCAAGTCCGCCATCTTCAGCTGGGCCTTCTCTAAGTGCCTTACAGAGGGCAAGGCACTGCTTTCTTGGTTGCAGGGGGAAATGGAGGTTACACCCAAGAAAACCAGTGAGAGATTTGTGAGAAACCCCTCCATTTCCCATCAGTGCTTGGCTCTCACGGTGTCTCCATTTCTCCACGTCAGCCACAGGCAAGAGGATTAGCTGAGGAATGTTTGCTTGAGGGAGCATTGGCCGGGGAGGGTGGGGGGCGGCGGCAGCCTCGCCCAGGCTCCGGGACCCCTGGCTGCTCCAGCCCTCCCCTTGAACCCCTCCTGTGCCCAGCTCAGAGCTGTGCCTTCACCTTCCATCCAGCAGCGCCCATCCTGGCAGGAGAGGAGGTCAGGGGCCCGCACACCCACCCTAGGGCAGGGGAGAAGCAGGACGTTCAGGTAAACTATAACAAGCCCGGCCAAGTCCAGCCCCACCCTGCTGTTCTGCATCCAGCGCCAGATGTGGACATGCTTAGTTCCTCTCAGCGAGCATTTCTGAGATGAGGAGGGAGCCATGCTGACTTAAGGACAGGAAGCGTTTTGATTTCTTTTCCCTGCCTCCTGCTTCCCAAAGCCCCCTGCTGCCTTCTTTCAGCACACTGGCAGAGGGGAGTAGAAAAATAAGTATGGATATAAATCTCCACCTGAGTTCCTTTCACATCGACTAAGTAAGCAACTAACTTGCCAATAAATTACTATTTAAAAATGTGTGGACACATAGGCATATATATGCATGTGCATATGAACATATACACACGCATATATATACACGCATGTGTGTGTAGTTCCAAGCTTTTCTTCCTTGCTCTGTCCCTTGCAGGCGGGCAGCTTCAGACAAAAGCCTCCGTCCCCTCCAGAGGGCCTCATCGGATCATGGGTGCCACGTAGTTGGCAGGGAAGAGGCCCAGCTTGTTGTGCAGGCGGCCGGTCCACCAGGAGGGGTTGGAGCTGTCCAGGACCTCAACCACCTCTCCGCAGCGGAAGCCCAACTCGTCGTCCTCCAGGGCCTCAAAGTCATACAGCGCCCGGGCCCACCGCACCCGCTGTTGGGAAAAACACAGAGAGAGGCCCTGCTGAGCCCGGGCTGGCCAAGCTGGGCTCCGAGTCACCGGCACACACACGGAAGAGAATCTGCTGGCCCTGTAGTCTTTTTAGACAAAGCTCTCCATGAGCAGCCTGCCCCAAAGGCTGATGAATGGCTCTCCAGAGAGGTCTCAAACCCTGCTGCCACTGAAAGCAGACCCGGGTGCCTAGCCCTGAGCAACCCCTGAGCCTATCCCTCAAGGCTCCGAGAGGATCCTTGAGAGCTGCTCTTCCCTACATCAATAGGTGGTCTTTTTTATTTTCTTCAAGTGACAAACAGAGCACAGCATGCCCAGACTAACAGTCCTCGGTGCCAGCACAACCTCATCAGTGATAAAGGCAACAGATCTCCCTCTCCTAGAATGGCAGCCAGGAAATATGAGAACTGGGCAGGGCCCGACAGCCAAACTGAGAACAGCAGGCTGGATGATGCCAGCTGGGATCAGCTCCGCCGGGGAACTCTCGCCCCGCCATCACTGGCTGGGTTCCCTCCACCTCTATGTGAACTCCGTGCAGTGTGAGGCCTTTTCTGGAGGACCAACTGTCTCTCTACTTGGCCCCTTGGCCTCCTCCACTGAGCCCAGAGAGGGACGTTCACATACCCCGGCCACTTGGAGTTGCACCGGATCAGTGTGTCTCCGGTGCATGAGAGCGGCATTCATTTCGGTGCCCATGCCCAGGCCACAGGGCCCATCGTTTATGTCTAGGCTGGCTCCACGGCGTTCCTAGAAACAGATGGGACAGAGAGCCATCACCACACCGCTGGAAGCATCCCTCATGGGCTCCCCCAGTGCCTTGCTCCGGTGCCATGGACGCAGCCAGAGCTCCAAGAAAACTTACTGCGGAGGACGATAAACCCCAGATAAGGGAGAGGGGTTATAGGGTGACAAACAGACCTTAGGTTGTGAAGATGATGCCAAATTTCACTCATTCAACCAAGGAATATTTATCAGGCACCTACCATATGTCTAGTACTGTCTTAAGCATGGGGATGTGTATCTGGAAAGAGAAGGCCCCTGTCCTCAGAGAACATCAGTTCAGAGGGAGAACCGTATGCATTTACGTGATGAGTGAGTGGAGACAAGTGTCTGAGTTGGCCTGGGTGATCAGGGAAGGCTTCTTACAGCAGGTGATGCTTGAACTCCAGTTGAAAGAGTAGAATTGACTAGGAAACGGCATTTCAGGCAGAAGGGACAGCAAATAAAAAGACTCAAAAGCATGAGAGAAAATGCAGTGAATCGTTCTGATAACTAAAGGAAGTACAACAATGCAGGGATGTATGTTTGCATGGGGAGGGGGCAGGGGATGAGGCTGGAGAGGCAGATCTGGGCAGCTTACGAAGGACTTTGTGTGCCCTGCTAAGGAATTTAGGGATGTTGTTATCTGGCTGTATTGTCCATCTCAGTGAGCCACCTAAAATCCCATCTGGAACAAGGTGGGGGATAAACAAATAAATAAGCAAGGCTCCATTTCTGACCTTAATCCGTTTTTCCTGTAGATCTTGACAGCCAGATGGGTCAAGGGGCACAAAAAGTTTTGGAATTGTGCTGATAGGAAAAATGAAGTCATTGTTCACGGAGTCCTCAGGGTGAGTGTGTGTGTGTGTGTGTGTGTATGTATGTGTGTTTGAGTGTAGGTGTATGTGTGTATGTGTATGTGTGTGTGTTTGTATGTGTGCTTATGTGTGTGCATGTGTATGTTTATATGTATACACACGTGTGTATATGCACGTGCATGTGTATGTGTGTTCGTATGTGTATATGGATGTGTGCATGGGTATATGTATTTTTATATGCGTGTACATGTGTGTATGTGCATGTGTACATGTGTGTTCGCATGTATATATGTGTGTGCATGTGTGTATGGATGTGTGCGCATGTATGTATATGTGTATATGTATGTGTGTAAATATGTGTATGATTGTATGTGCATGTGTATATGTGTGTGAATGCGTGCATGTGTGTATATGTGTGTTTGTGTGTGTGTGTGTATATGTGTTTAAGCAGGGACTCATTTAATTCACAGAGATGTCTTTGCCAAATGCAGTTTCCATGTTTCTGCCCTCTGAGGACCCTTGTGTTTGTATGTGTGCATATGTGTGTGCATGTGCATGTTTATATGTATACACACACGTGTACATGCACGTGCATGTGTATGTGTGTTCGTATGTGTATATGGATGTGTGCATGGGTATATGTATTTTATATGCATGTACATGTGTGTATGTGCATGTGTATATGTGTGTTCGTATGTATATATGTGTGTGCATGTGTTTATGGATGTGTGCGCATGTATGTATATGTGTATATGTATGTGTGTAAATATGTGTATGATTGTATGTGCATGTGTATATGTGTGTGAATGTGTATATGTGTGTTTGTGTATGTGTGTGTGTATATGTGTTTAAGCAGGGACTCATTTAATTCACAGAGATGTCTTTGCCAAATGCAGTTTCCATGTTTCTGCCCTCTGAGGACCCAGAATCTTTTCTCTGAGCTCAGTGAGACCAGATGGGACCAGGCTTGGACCGGGACATTCCTCCCCTGACAGACAGTCCTGGGGCCACAACTGGCCCCCAACATGTATTTGTTTCTGTTGTTTTCGGCACTGTGGGGTTTTTCACACACTGTGTGGCAGTGGGGACAAGGTTGCTGAAGCGTGGGGGGAAAGCAGATCCTCCTCCACTCCCTTCCCACTTCATCCTTCCCAGGTACCTGATTAAAATGATGCTGTGGCAGGTACCGCTGCTGTGGTGGCAGTGGGGCCGGGGGATACTGCGAAGGAGGGGGCAGGGGGTGATCCGACGTCTTCCTGTTCATTGAAGGCCGGATTTCTTCTCCCACAGCCCCGCTCAGGGGATGGCCTCCCTGGGACCGCCGGTCCAGGCTGTTGCCCCGCTGACCCTGGGAGAGTACAGAGATGACACAGATCCATCCTCCTCCCGCCTCTCCTGGCCTGACCCAGCCCTTCCAGCAGCTGTTCCCAGACTTAGATTCTGACAGCTCCAAGAAACAGCTGATGGGGGTGGGAGCAGCTTAAAGAAAATCAGTGGTTCAGATCATCACATTTTCACAGAGGCCTGTGCATTCTCAGATTCTCCCGGTTTGGGGAGCTTGGGTCTCTGGTTCATACACTTTCCACCTGGTACCCATCTCGTCCCTTCCTCAGGGGCTTGTTTTTCTCTGTGTAATCAAGCTTAAATATTCCATTTTACTGACACAATGCCACCCCTCCTTATCTCATGTTGCCACACTGCTGGACATCCTATCCTCCAGATAAGCTCTGCTATTGACTTTGCATGATTTTGAACTGTCATTTATAGCCTGGTGATAGAGACCCAAACAGCAACGCTCTCGCAGCACCATGGAAACCAGGCCTGCTGCTGGGCATGTAGGGAAAAAACAAGACCTTTCTCCTGAATGCTACCACAACCTCATGACTCAGAGACACTTTCTTGTTATTTTTATTTAACAAACAATTACACAGAGCCCTGGGCTTAGCATATGCCAGGCACTGTTCTAAGCACTTGGCAAAATGAACTCATTAAATCCAGTTTAGTGCAGTTTTATGTTTCCTCTCTCATCTCTGTGTGCACATCTTAGTAAATGAGTATCTCTGTCCATTTCCTGGTTGAAAGAATTCACAAGGTCCGCATTAACCTTTGTTTTCCTTTCTGAACTTTTGTGTGCATTTGGGAACACCCTTTTCTCCTTTGATTGTAACTTCTCAGGCTTAAAATCAACCTATTACTTGAAAGGGATGGTTTTCTTTACTTCTCTAAAGCACACATTGCTTTGAAAAGTCTCAGTGCCTTTTCAGATAGCCTGTCAGTGGGATTTCAACTCTTCCACTCAGCGCTGGTTCCTATAATATCCATCTCCTATAACCATGATATTTCCTTTGAAACATATTTTATAGATTATGTGTGTGTGAATTTACTTTTGGAATCAAATTAACATTTCCTTAGTGCCATCTGGGGACCAGACTCTGTGGTGAGTGCTATGATTATATCTCACTTATCCTCACCATAGTCCAATGAAGAAGGCATTATATTCTCTCCATTCTACAGATGAGAAAAACTGATGCTCAGAAAGTTTTCTTCACTTGACTGGGTAATCAGGATAGTTAGCAATGATATCAGTTTTTAAAGCCAGGTCCATTGGAGACGCATTTTTAAAAAGATTTTTTGGTGCAGGACCATTTTTAACGTCTTTGTTGAATTTATTGCAACATTGCTTCTGCTTTATGTTTTGATTTTTTTGACCCCCAATGCACATGAGATTTTAGCTCCTGGACCAGGGATAGAACCCACACCTCCTGCATTGGAAGGTGAATTCTTAACCACTGGACTGCCAGGGAAGTCCCTGGAAGTATTTTCTATTAAGACAATACTTCGTGTTCCAAACTGTTCCAAGAGCAAGAATTCCACTTCCAGTTTTCTCCTCCAATGCACCCTGCTTCTACCCTCCCCACCCCCAAATCCTGTCATAAAGCTCTACTTGCTGCATTAGTCCTGGACTCGAGGTTCTAATATCCCCATGTGTAGCCCCACCGCTTCTCCCAAGTTACTTCATCCTTGGGTAGCTCCTGAGCTAGGCTGAAAACTGTGATACGGTAACGCCTGTGAATAATGAAACAACAGTGTCCATAATAAGAGCCCATGTATACTGGGTGCTTGGGGTGTGATTAGGAATGATGTAAGGGATGGACTACATCATTCTCTAACCTTCAGAACCATCCTCTGACGTAGCTGTCACTATCATCCCAAATTTATGGATGAAAAAACTGAGAATTAGAGAACTTTTCAAAGTCACATACCTAGGAAGTATTAAGCTAGGATTTAAACTTTTCAGAATATGCAGGGACCTGCCCATCAAACGCATGGTTTTAGGGGTTCACGTAGGGACCCAAACTGCCCAGAATCTCTGGATTGGGGGTGATGGGGGCCAGCAGCATACCTGTTCCTCCCGGGTCCTATCCCTCAGAAAGATCTGCTTCTGTTTGGAGATGGAATTCTTCCTGTAGTAGTCCACCAGCTTGTTGAGGGATGGAAACTTCTCTGTCCACAGGAAGTAATTACCCTTGTTGTCTCTCATGACTTTGAAGTGTTGAACATCATCCTCATGCCTAAAGAGCAAGACAAATCCAAATTATGTATCATGTGGTGAGCATGTCTGCCTCCAGGGCCGACTGCATCCAGGGATGCTGGAGTTTTCTTTGGGCAGGGAGCGGAGGTATGGTTGGCTGGCCCATCCCTGGGCAGGTGGGCTGGCCTAGTCAATCTAGGGGAGATTTCCGGGAGAGGCCACTCAGGACTCAACTGAGATAGAGGGGATTTTTTTGGGTGTGTGTGTGGCCATGAGGCTTGCGGGATCTTTGTTCTTCTACTAGCGATTGAACCTGAGTCCACTGCAGTGAAAACACCAAGTCCTAACCACTGGACCACCAGGGAACTCCTGAGAGGAGGTTTGCTTTTTTTTTTTTTTTTTCACATGAGCAGAAAGCAATCTTTCTTCTGATACTGGAATTGTCCTTTTACAAGAAAAAAATATTCCAAGGGCTTTAAAGAATACAAGGTTGAGGACTTTTTTTTACAATGTTTATTTGAAGCATGGCAATGCCTGAGACCTTACCAGGCTAAGAACTCTGCCAAGACTCAGAGGGGAGGAGTTTTTCAAGCCCTTGTTGTCTTTCTGTTAACAGAAATAGTCTGAACCAGCTCCTTTAAGTTCAAAAACTACCCTGAGAAATCTGTCACACTTTGTTCTCTACATAGCCGGGATCTCTTGGTTGGTATTGTTTTGCATAAATAAGGTTACAAAGTATTTTGAGTTGTTGGGGAAAAATATGTGCTGAGGCTCAGAGAGGTGGAGGGGCTTGGTTAAAGTCACTGTTAAGAGCAGAGTTGAGGCAAGGACCCTGGTTCTCTAATTCCAGTCTAATGAGCTGGTATCACACCAAGCACACATGCTTTTTTTTTTTTTCTCTCATGTTAACTTCTTTTAGATCAGCACTTTTGACACTAGCTGAACTCAGAAGTGATGGAGCATGTTTGTACCTGGGGTGGAGAATTTGGATTTTATTCACTGAAAGAGGAGGCTGGACCTTGACCAACAGCCCCAGCCATTTTCCATCACCAAGTCATTCTTGTTTGAATGTCAAGTTTTTTTGGTCAAATGGACACACATTTATGTCTAAAAATAAACTGATGTTATTGATATCAATTGCATGACCCAGCAGAAAGGTAAAAAATTTAGACTGTTGGAGAGTAAAGATAACTCTTTCTAAGGGATGGATTTAGAGGTCTGTGTTCAGAGGGGACAGGTGTTTTGATCTTCCTCCTCATCTTATTTTCGGGGCTCTGCTCAGAGACAGGCAAACCTATTCAGTGACCTCTGCTTAACTACCTTGGGGGTCATAGCCGACACTTGGCAATCAATCATTGCTTGCCCTTCCCCTTTTGGCTTCGGTCACTCATATATGCTTTCTTCACTCCAGCACCACATGGATCGGCTCACAGTCATCACTCCCCACATCTGGCTGAGGAGGAGGGAATATTCTTGTGACACGATTATTCATCCACCATCTCTTAGTCAAAGAACTGGGAATGAGAAATATTAACTCTTTCACTCCCATATACTGACAGTGTGCATGTCAGGACTGTGGTTGGTCATCTGGCCAATGGAGAGAGAGGGGCTGGACCACTGTCTTGAGGTCTGAGAAGGGTTGAGAAAAGGCTGTAACTCAGGGCTCCAGAGCCTCAGTCTAGTGTTTCAGACCCTCAACTAATCCTAAGTGATAGATAATTACAATTAGCTCTTAATTATCTGTGCCAGGACAGAAAGCAGATGTATAAATAAATTAGTGATTTTGCTTTGGAATATATTAGACTACATTTCTGCAGAAGAGGTAAAACTGATTACAGTAATAATCACCATCACAAGAGCCTGCATAGCCTCAATGGCAGGGAAGATCATGGCAGATATCAAAGCTGATTGTTTTTTGTAGAATTCAATTTGATCAAGGAATGATAAACCCTAATTCCTCACTGAAAAAGCCAGCCTCAACATGCAAACCAAAGGCACCAAGAGATACCTTTCAATCTAACAAGTTGCTTGGTGTTGCCTCTAATTGTGGCCCTGAAGAAACAGGTTTGAGTTGTAAGATTTATTAATAGAGAAAAAGTTCATGAATTAAGACCTAACAAGTTTAGAATTGGTGATACAGTAATATTGACCTGAGCTAAAATTTACCATCATCCCAGCTATAAAAGAGAAAGCTTCAGTTAAGGGAAATTAAGAGTTTGATTTCAAGGGCAATGCTTAAGAGACCAAGGTATTCTTGAGTCTGCTGGGGACACAAATGGATATAAATACTTGACCCATTATTATTATTTTTAATTTATTGATTTATTTCCTTGGTTGCACCAGGTCTTAGTTGTGGTATGTGGGCTCTAGTTCCCTGACCAGGGAATGAACCTGAGCCCTCTGCCTTGGTGGCATGGAGCCTTAGCCCCTAGACCACTAGGGAAGTCCCCTTAACCCATTCTTTTTAAGTCTTTCCTACTTATTCCTTAAAGTACTGCACTTTCTTTCTAAATAGTAATGTGGCCTCTGTTTATTACCCGAGACTGGACTTAGGAACTTAAAGCTGCATGCCTTTCAAATTACACTGCAGAATCCAGACAGCACCTCCGGTCAGGTAACTTGCCAGTGAGGTTTCACCGTACTGGTTGTCGCACCGCTCCCTTTGCTGCTATTGGCATCCTTGCACTTTCACATGTGGTCACCAAGTCTGATGTGTGACTCGCCATCCCCAGCACGCTGACCACACACCGTGTGTTCAGACTTGGGGCTTCTACGTGTGGGGCTATGTCATGTTAAACTGAGTCACTTCCTCCCGAGAGGTGGGGTGCCGCACATTGGCGAGACTTTGCTGTCAGAGTGCCCCCACCGCAGGCCTCCTGGGCTCTGCTCTGTCCCTGTCAATTTCACAGCATTACAGACCATGGAGGTAGCCTTTCTTTCTGTGCAGCCACCTACGACTACGGATTTGTCCTATGGCGGTGACTGGGGGTTTTGATCTTTCTCTGTCCTTCTTCAGACATGCACTGGTAGTAAAAGAAAATGCTAAGATTGCAACCCTGGACTTCCCTGGTGGTAGAATGGATAAGAATCCGCCTGCTAACGCAGGGCACGTGAGTTTGATCCCTTGTCTGGGAAGACTCCACATGCTACAGAGCAACAAAGCCCGTGAACCACAGCTACTGAGCTCAAGCACCTACAGCTTGTGTTCCACAAGAGAAGCCCCTGCAATGCCCTGCAAAGAAGAGTAGGCCTTGCTCACTGTAGCTAGAGAAAGCCAGCGTGCAGCAGCAAAGACCCGGCACGAACAAAAATAATTAATTTTTAAAAAAAGATTGCAACTCCAAGATGGATGTGGACCTCTGGAAATTCTCTGTTCCTTCTCCCTTCCCATTCCCCTTCCACAGACACTTACCCAGCACCTGTTGGGTTTACATGGTGCTGTAAAATGCACAGAGGTGAGGTTGATAAAAATCCTGTCTTTCCAGAAGCACCTGGGCTGGAGGGGGAGGCAGGTGAATGTATTGATACATTATACCCAGGCCCCTTGCCACCGTGCTCCTGAGGAGTAGGTCATGTTTGAGAGGTCACCTTGTTGTTTTAGCGCTTTAGTAGGTCAGGGCGGAGTCAGGATTGGCCAGTACCTGACGGATATGGAGAAGTCCCCGGGGGAGCTCTGGCTGGCCCGGATGATGAAGCAACCAAGCTCCTTGCTCATCAGCAAGCTCTCTGCCTGGTGTCGTGAGAGGCCTTCGTGAAACCACCTATCAGGTGAGACAAAAACAGAGGATCTTGGTGAGATGCTAGACTGATGGGGTTTGGGGGTAGGGAGGGAAGGAAGTCGGGGAGAGATGACCCAGAGGGAGAAGGGCTGAGGAGAGACCCCAAGACGGGCCAGGTGCTTTTGAAACCAAACAAATGCTCTAGCAGTTTCCAGGTGAGGCAAGTGAGTGTCCCCTTGAGGTACCTCCTGCCCTGTCCCCTCAGGAGAAGTCTCTCTCCTGCCTGCTTGGAAATCCTGAGTCATGGAAATGTGCCACTGCACAAAACGGGATGATGTGGGAGGGACTCACTGCAGGAGCGGCCCCCTGCCGGTGGCTGTGAGAGGGACGTCTCCAGAAAGGGACTGCAGGGTCAGATGGTGCTCCAGGAGGACAGGGACCCCTTTGGGCACTGGGACGGGCAGGGCCCTTGGGTGCTGGCTTCAGGCTGAGACCCCAGTGGCCGGGAAGACGGGTCACAACCGAGGGCCTCTGGGTGGCGTGGGGCGGGAGTGGTTGTGACTTGTGCCCGGCAGACACAGTGGGGCACCCAGGGAGGTCCCCACGCACCCTTGGAAGTGAGCGAGGCTGGCGGCAGCCAGAGAGTGGCGTCTAAACAGCCAGCTCCCTGGCCCTCCCTGAGAAACCAGGCTGGAAAATAACCTTTACTGGGGAAAAGAAGGCACCGAGGAGAAACTGCTCTTTCAGGTCAGCAGTCAGGGTGGCGGCCTTTGGAAGTGTTGCTGCAGGCGGTACAGCGAATGTGACAAAGGCTGAGCCCTGCATGCAGGCCAAACAGTGTCTCCAGCCTCAGGGCAGGAGGCCAGGAACCTCTCTCACCCTCGTGGAGCAGAACGGGTGTTCGCGGCTCCTCGGCGGCCAAGGTGGGCGGTGCCCCTTTGCTGAAACATGGCTGCCTGACTGCTGCCCCCGGAAGGCGAGCCTATGTGTTCCTTTAAAGTGAGCATCCGACAGGCCCCTCTGAGCAGTTCTCTTGTGCCCTTTGGAACTTAGGAGCTGAACAGACAGAGGTGGTGGGAGGATTATCCTTTTTCCAGACCTGGGACTGCAGCGGCAGGTTGGTCAGGCTCTGAGGGGCCAGAAGCAGAGGTTTTCTGACCCTCATCTGCCTGGAGTTCCTGCCATACAAACCTACAGGACTGATGAGTGGCCACCACAGGCAATACAATGGGGAGGGGAAAAGAATGGGACCCCCCCTCCACAGCAGCCATCCTCAGAGGAAATCTCTTGAAAGAGGGAGCAACCAGAGAGGAGACTGTTTGGAAAATACACACTTGCCCTCTATCTGGGTTTTGTTAAGCGACTTCTTTCAAGACTTACAAAAATGTCCACAGGCTACTTGTGAAATGAGTGCCAGAGTTTCATATTACACGTCGGTTCCAAAGCTATTCAGTCACTGAACAGCTTTTATTAAACATGTGCTGTGTGCTGGGCCCTCTTCTGAGGATGTACTTAATGCAGTGGTGAGCAGAACAAACAAGAACCCTCATAGAACTCACATTCTAGTGGGGTAGGGGCAGAAATATCATAAACAATGAAGTAATTAGAATATGGAGTGTGTCAGCCGATGTAAGTGCTCTGGGGAATATGAACAGAGGGCAGAGGTGGGGGGGGGTCCTTTAAAATGTGGTGGTGGGGAGGGCCTCACTGGGAGGGGGCATTCTAACTCTAAAGGAGATGGGGGAGGCGGGGAGGAAACAGCAAAGGAGACAGGGAAGGAGAAGCTAGGGAGGAAGGAGGAGAACCGGGAGGAAGGATGTCCCTGAAGCCCAATGAAGAAAGTGTTTCCATGGGAGGGAAAGGTTCCTTACATCAAACGGTGCTAGATGATGGCCGACAATCCACCACTGGGACCCACAGTTCCCTGGGACCTTGATAAAAAGGTTTCCAAGGAGTCATGGGGCTTCCAGGGAGAATAGGAGGAGAGGAATTAGAGACAGCGAATAGAACGATTGTTTGAAGAAGTGGAGTCGTATCGGGAAGGGGATTTGGGATCAAGGGTTTTGTTGTCTGGTTTCATGTTTTGTGGTTTTTTTTGGTAAGCCGGGAGAAATCGCAGGATCTTAGTTTGCCACCGGGTTGGAGCCAGCAGAGAAGGAGGAAAGCTGATGTGGGAGAGAGGGGAGGACTTCTGCTCGAAGCACAGACGGTTCTTTCCAAATAACTGCAGGAAAGGCAGTGTCTGAGCAGTTGCGGGATGTGGGTGGAGGCAGTGAGTCAGGACGGGTGGCGTAGATGGGCTTTTCTGGGGGCCTCCGCTGTCCTGGAAGCCAGGCGGTTGGCTGAGAGTGTGTGTGTGAGGCGGGGGGTGAGTGGAGGAGCTGCAGGGGTGCCGTGCTTACCCAGAAGGTGACAGGGCAGCCTCAAGGGCCCCCTGGCTGAGGTCAGCGGTCATTGTGCTGGCTCAGTGGTCAGTGCTGATTCCCGGTGAGTGGTACCATTGCACCTCACCAGAGTCACCAACACCGCTTTGGTTTTCTAACAAACCTTTGCTTTTCGGCTAGACCCTGACTCTCAGACAAGATTAGATTTCTATCTAACCCTTGTGGTCAATTCTTGAGACGCACGTGACCCAATCTCAACTTTTCGTTTCCTCTCTATGGAGGGAATTTCCCCGACCTCTCTCACTGAGCGTGAGCACGGTTTCGGGAAGCTCACAGTTCCGAGAGCTTCGTCATGTCATCCTGGAACTGGGATGGAAGGTGGCTTGGGAGATAGGGGAGAAGAGCCCTCGAAGCAGCAGCTGTGGAGGTGGGGTGGCTGACAGCGCTCCCACTGGAATTCTTGGAAACGCCATGGTTACAATCAGATGGCTTTGGCTTATAAATTTAAAATAGGTGATACTTGCACATGGTATCAAATTCAAAAGAGAATGCCGTGAAATGCAAATCTCCCTCCCACCCCTGGCCTTCAGCTGCGTGGTTCCCTCTCCAGAGGCGACTGTTTTTGACAGCGTCTGGGCTGTGCACGGATAATTTTAGTGGCTACTGAAAAAGTAAGGGGAGTGTGTGTGGGCAGGCCTATCTCCGCAGGCTGGAAATACTTACTCAGGAAACTCGATGTCTATAAAATTCTTGGGCACGTATCCTTCCTGGCTTCCAAGCTCCGCCTTGAACCACTCCTCTTGGTTACTTAGGATCTACAGGGAGGAGAAGGGAGGACGGAGACACTGAGGAGAGGACGCCAGGAAGCAGGAGAAATGGGCTGCAGGGCAAAGAACTTAAGCACCTCAGTCCAAACTCCACCCAACCCAAAAGAACAAAGGCTTCTGAAGTTAAAGGAAAATAAGCAAAAGAAGGCTTCCCAGGTGATGCAGTGGTAAAGAATCTGCCTGCCAATGCAGGAGACGTAAGAGACAAGAGCCTGATCCCTGGGTTGGGAAGATTCCCCGGAGGAGGATACGGCAACCCACTCCAGTATTCTTGCCTGGAGAATCGCACAGACAGAGAAGCCTGGCAGGCTATACAGTTCACAGGGTCACAAAGAGTCAAACATGACTGAACGACTAAGTGCGTGCACACACACACGCGCCAAAGAAACCACAGAACCACTGGAGTGGGGAGCAGCAGGCTTATCTTTGGAGTTTGGCTTCTCTTGTCCCCAAGCTATTTTTGTACACTTGGGCCACCCGCTCATGTGACTCCACACTGGTGGGGCCTCCCAGACTTGGTGCTCAGAGGTTTCTCTGAACCCCTCTTCTCCTGTTTTGAAGATTTGTGTCTCAGATCTTAGCACTTTAAGCTCCTTATCTAGGCAGGTGGTTTCTCCTTCTCTGCCAGGTAACCGAGAACCTTTTACAATTTTAATTTGTTCTTACTTTTTTACGCTAGCTAGCGGATTAAAACTTAAACATCAAGTGGGGGCTAGCTTTGAAAACAGTAACTCTTTGTGTTCATATTCCATGTTTGCACAGTTTGGACATAACTCAAGATTCCCGGAATACCTTTTCTAAATTTGCTTTTAGACTGCGATCATAGGCAAAACCAGAAGTTTTCTCTCATTACTGTAAGATCTTACCTTGACCATGACCCCAAATGTTATCATCTGCCTTGATTACTTATATGACTCTCCAGACTTGGCTCTATGTGGCTTCTGGTCATTTCAGAAAATCTCCTATCATCAAAAGACAAATATTTGACTTCCTCTCCACCCACCCCTACTGAGAATATTTCTAAAATATGTAGTGCAGACTCAAATAATAATTCAAAATGAAGATGGCAGAACAAAAAGATGGGAAGAATCTTGGTGTCATGGAGCTACTGAATTAGCTGCTTAGGAGCCCTCTAATGCCTGGACTTTGTATGAGAAATTATAAATCTTTGTTATTGTTTAGGCCATTTTAAGTTTCTGTTTCTCATAGCTGAAAACGTCTTAACTGATGGAAGAGAAACAATAAAGAGGAAAGCAGAAGATGGATAGGAAAGCTTACTCGGAGCAGGGACTGCTTGGGTTGCCCAGGTATTGAAAGGAGTTACCTAGGCAAAGTCTGATGGCAAAATAACTACTTCCGGGGCATGAGGAAGTGAGGTGCGTTCTTGGGACAGAACTCCTCAATCTGGCGGGAGTTTAGATTGTGACCCCAGGAGTACAGAGAGGGGAAACCAGGGTTACAGGGCCTTGTAGCCCACGTTCAAAAGTCTGAGTTTCTATCTTGAAAGGTATGGGGATCCATCAAAGGATTTTCATCAGGGAAACAGCACAGTGAGAGTCAGTGTTAAGAAAGGCGTGCGGTATCACAACTTGAAGATGGACTTGGGGGTGAAGTCAGGGGAGAGAGTGTGGGAAGAGGAGCGTAGCTGTCCAGGCATAGACGAAGGGGATCTGGGCTAGGTAGAAGTGAGGACAGATTTCAGAGGAATCAGGAAGCACAAACGGGTAGGATTTCATGACTGTTCGAGGAGCTGAGGGAGAAGGGGATTCTGGGATGGCTCTGGATTTCTGGCTTGGGAGATTGAGTGGGTGGTGATACTTTTACCAAAATAGAAAAGACAGGAGGAGGAACAGGTCTGAGGGAAAGCTCATGGACCTCAGACCACCTGTGGGTAATCAAGTTGCCCCCAGGACCCTCAGGGAAGGATAGCTCAGGGAGCATTGGAGACGTGTGTCTGGGCTCAGCAGTGAGGTGGGGGCTGGAGCTGGATTTCAGAGTCATCCAAAAAGTGGGTGGACTTGAAGCCTCTGGTTTCTGCCTCCCAGAGATGGGAAGAGAATTGAAGAGAGCAATGTAATTGAGAAGTAGTGATGACCTAGTTCTAATATCACTCCTGAGTTTGGAAGGAGAAGCCCTTGGTCCTTGGGTCCTTGGTCCCCTAGATGTTTGACCTCAGGTGAGTCAATTATCATCTGCAAAATGGGGGCAATAAAAACTGGCAGCCCGTTCACGGAGCTGATGCAGGGATCAAATGCGCCCTCGTCCCTGGACATCCTCCAGAGAGTACAGGCTGTGTTTTTAAATATAATTCTGTCAAATGTAATATTCTTATGAGGGAAGACTCCAGGTCTGATGGAGGGTTGATAAGTTCTTTAAAGTGTTCTATGTGTATGTTTTGAATGTGATCATTTGTTCTGAAGAAATAAAAGTGTGTCCCATATTTGAGTTCTAGAATTGCTGAGAAAAGGAAACTTCATAGTTTCTAATATCAAATGTGACTGTTGGTATCACTAAGGATATGTGGGTATGTGTGTGCTGAGCGGGGTGGCAGGGGTAGGGGAGCAGGAAATCTAGGTCAAAAGAAGAATTAGGAAACTTGGCACCAGGGCATCATCATCACATAAGAAACATAAGGGCATTTTACTCTGTGCTCCCCCAGATTTCAAGGCTCTGGAATTCCTTTCTCCCATCACACATGGGAAGACGTGTGGCCTGGGCAGCAAATGTCAAATACCAAGGTGAGCAGGGATGAAGTAAAAGAGGCCATTTGGAAATGGGCTCATCGCAGTAGGAACTACATTTTGCACTTAGCTCTCTGACCCAAAACTGGCTGTAATTTTAGTAATCGTGGCTCACACTCATTTACACCCTCTAGCCACCGAAAGATTATCCCGAAATGCCGTCCATTTTCCTCACCACCTGGTGCTCGGTCTGCCTGACATAGTGTTCCCAAAGAAGCGAATTTATAGGCTTTTTATGAGGTGTAAAAGGCAAGGGTTTAAAAAAAACTCACTTTCGGCAAAGAAGAGTCTTTGGGGGGTGGTGGTGGTGGTTTCCTCCCGCCGTTGTTGGCAGGGCTGGTACTTCCTGTCCCTCTCATCTCTCCATCTCCTCCGTTTCTCTATCTCTTGTCCCCATCGTGCAAACCTGAGCAAGGAGTTCAGCCTAAACCCGTGAGGTTTTACCCTCAACTTCGCTGTAACTTAACTCTTACGGTGTTGCCTGCCGGAATCATTTTCTGGGTTACGTGGCCTGAGAATAAGTTAGATGTGGGAAGAGGACAAAATGTACGGCTGGAAGAATTTCAAAATTGGATGAAATTATAGCTCTTAGAGGCATAGCAGAAATCAGAAGTGTTGAAGAAGTTAATTACGTAGGACTAACTCTGGGGGCTCTTTGGTCGCTGTTTTAGTGGGAAGAAATGGGGTTGTGTTAGATGAATTGCAGAAGCACACAGAGATGGCCTGGGTCAAGAGACACTTTTTAATAACGACTGGCAGATTCGAGTGGGAAACGTAAGCTGGGTGCTATGTGCAGCTGCAGGTTGAGAGGTCATGATATGCACATGAAGCATTCAGCTTCTGACTTTTGGAATGTTTCTCTCACAGGAGAAATGGGATCCAGTCATTTGGCTAGAGTTCCATGTCTGCCATCTTGTTCACCATTCTGGGATCAGCATCTAGTGAGCAACTGCTGTTTGTACTCGGGTGCTGGGAATACAGAGATGAATAAGCTGGGGCCTACACCCTGGGGAGCTCACAGTCTGCAGGGGGCAGCTGGTGATGAGCAAATCAGACAGTTTTTGTATCTTCTAATGAAAAAGTCTGTTTAGTGTTTTAGAACTAAAGGCATAACATGAAAGAGCACTCAGGAGTGCGTTGCTGGGATAGTCAAGAACTGGCCTTGAAAACAATTTCTAAAAAAACCCCAAGAAACAGAACACCAATTTCCAGGCTCCTGGGGCTTGCTACCCATATCTGGAGGGGACAGTTGTACGTGGAGACCCACAGGCGGGCCCACTGACCACCGTGATACAGACCTTCCATGAGACTCAGCCAACAAGACCCATCCCTTTTCCTCTTTACCACTATGGCTGCAATGGATAGAATTTGAAAGGAAGGAAGGGTTTGGCTTTCTGAGGGAATTTTAAATGAGTGTGCAGAAACGCAGTTTAACAACTCAAGAAATATGTACTGAGCGCCCATCTGGGGCCATGACTTGTGTTAGGTGCTGGGAAGACACAAAGATGAACCCGGCAAGACTCTGTTCTCAGACCAGCAGTGGGATGATCCGCTCATTCATTCATTCGTTGACACTTCCTCACCTTTCTGCAGGCCCAGCCCCCACCCCTGCAGAGCTCTGGGGAGTGAAGCAGCCACTATGTGACCGGACAATCAGGATGGCATGTGGGGAGAGCAGCAGAGGTGGTGCTCGGGTGCAGAGAGCGGAAGCTCGCCTGCTTGTAAATAGGGTGTGAGTGCCTTGAACAGAGTGTGTGAAATGCCATGGAGGAGCTGAAGAGGGGGTGATGAGTTTACTGGGGTAGAGGGGGTGGGGAGGATTCATGACGGTTCCCTGGCAGAGGTGGTCACACGCATGAGGGCAGAAGAAGGACATTCAGACTACAGGGAGAGCCTGAAAAAGGACAGTGTACATATTCCCGTGTGTGATTTGGGCCATTTCATGCACAAAGATGAGTATGTGCGTGTGTGTGTGTGTGTGTGTGTGTGTGTGTGTGTATGCGTGTATACATGTTCTTGCACTCGAGCATGATGAGGTTGGGTGGTGGGTTGAGCTCCGACGGCTTAGATTTCCATCCACTGGTCGCGGGGAACCACTGAACACTTCTGAGGGAGGAAGTAATATGATCCAATTTATCTTCTGGAAAGATCCCTCTGGGACTAGTTTTTAGAATGAAGGAGGAAGAGAGAGGAGACAATGAGTTTAGTCAAGGGATGTGGCAATAGTCTGAACAGTCAGAGGGAGAATGGGTGATATTGACAATATGGGGATCATTTATGGGTCATCCAGTTTCCTTTTGACTGGTACCAGACTCTTCTCCGGTGAAGAAGTGGGTTGCTTGGGAGACAGGATAAAAGGAAAATACTCAGAGTGGAGTACAGTGTTTTGAGGTGAAATAGGTCTCCTTTCAGATGCAAGGAGGGACAGTTAGCAGTGTCAAGTCCTATAGGTGTTTGGCAGGGTCCTTACATTCTACACTCAGGAGGTCACTGGTGGACTTTAAGGGAGTGATGGGGGTAAGAGTCAGATTCCAGAGGGTCTAGTGGAGTGAATGGGAAGTGAGGAAGTGGAGACAGCCAGCACAGAGAATTCTTCCGAGTGTGGCCATGAAGGAGAGGAAAGAAATTAGGAGCTGAAGCAGAATTGAGGAAAGATTTTTGCTTTTTGTTTTTCCTTTTCTGGAGAATAGGGAAAACTTAAGCCGGATGGTTTGGTTTGAAATGGGAGGTGAGGGATGGGACTTGCCCCACACCCACCTCCCAGGGCCTCTTTTGGGTGAGAACACTGCAGAGTGGTTGATAACCACATGGTCACACTACCTGACAGGGAAGGGAGGGACTTCTCACCTTGTCCCAGATCCCTCCGTGATCTTGGTAAGGTCCCAAAGAAGTGAAGGTCACTTTTCCCTGGGTCAGCAGCCCAAGCAGTATTTTGGCCTTGAGAAGCTCCAGCATTGAAGGCGTGCTCTTGGCAGCCGCATTGCCAGATCTCGCACAGTGAGGGCAGTTAGAAGGATAAACGCTCAGAGTGAGAGATGTGTGCACACTAAGTCGCTTTAGTCTTGTCCAACACTTCGCGACCCCATCGACTGTAGGCTGCCAGGCTCCTCTGTCCATGGGATTCTCCAGGCAAGAATACTGGAGTGGGTTGCCATGCCCTCCTCCAGGAAATCTTCCTGACCCAGGGATCGAACCTGCATCTCTTATGTCTCCTGCATTGGCAGGCGGGTTCTTTACCACTAGTACCACCTGGGAAGAGGGCGGGGAGGGGGTTGTTCAAATTCTACCTGTCTTGTGCGCCACAGACACTTTCCAATTCCCCTGATCACGTGTGACAAGGTTATTTGCATAGTAAGCTTTTATCTTAACGGAGAGACTATGGTGGCCATCTGGACTGCTGGGGACTGGGGATCAGGCTGTCCGAGGTGCTCAGAGGCCAGGGGGGCGTGGGTGCCGCAGACTCCCCAGGGACTGCTTTAAGGGCTTGTGCTATTTGGCACTCTGAGATGCAGAGTCCATGTAAGTGTGGCTCACGGAATGTGGAAGAAGTCCAAGGCCTCTTCAGCTCAGCAAACTGCCACTACAAGTCAAGTGTGGGTGGAAGACAAGCTTTGAGAAGCCCCAGAGTGGCCAGGTGTGAGTGGCCTTCACTGACCTGAGTTTCCTCCAGCAGCCTTTCCAGGTGTCCCCACCCACACCTTTCTCCTGTAAGTTCCAGCCATGCCGAGCCTCGTAATGCTGACCAGACTCTGCCTAAGCTTGACCATCTCTGAGCTTTAGCCAAAAACCTGACTCACCTTTACTGCTTTCCCTGACAACTGATGTTGCCACCCCTTCCTACAACCCCATCTTTCAAGGTGGGATCACTTGTCCCCTACCTGTGCTCCTGAGCACTTAGATAAAAACATCTATGAGAAGCCCTGCACACGGATGTGTTTCCCCCTCCAGACCACGAGCATCTCCGGGCAGGGATAGTGGCTGATACCAATGGGATTTCCATCACCCGCCCTGGTGGTTAGTGCACGGGTGCTCAGAAGAAACCTTTTTGGTTGAGGTGAATTTCAGATTTTGAAAGAACTGTGTTTCTTGAGAAACAGTTTAAGCAGTTCAACTGTTAGATTAACTCAGCAATTAGACCAGAATAACCTAAACTCTCCCCGGCTCTCCTGGGCCCCTCATCACCTACCTTCAGAACATCGCCAGCGTGAAAGCTCAGTTCATCTTCTCCCGAGGCCATGAAATCAAACTTGGCAATGGCTTCCATGTTGTAACGTGAAGCTGGAAGGGAAATAATGTGTCATTGTGTTTTCTGCCAGGAGAAGGGCAGTCCTAGCGGTTGGCAGTTGAGGGTCCAATGTCTCCCGGCTGGAGAGGGAGGTGCAGGGGCACAGGAAGGGTTTTTGTTTTCAGAAAGAGCTGCCTGAGCCCCTAGGATCCGCTTTCCAGCATCGTTCTCTGCATCCCCAGATGCCAGGAGCACGAAATGAAGGCCAGTGACCGCCTTCCCCCTCTCCTTTCATCCCCACTTGCTGTCCTGGCCTATGATCATTTCTGGGGCATCTCTGTGTCCGGTTGATAAGGACAGAAGGCTTGCTATCGTCGCTGCCTTGGGGCCTGAGGGACTGGAAGGACTGTTCTGGAAACACTGTCCCTCGGCAGCTATATTTAACCAGGCGGTGTTAATTAGACAGATGCCATTTTCTCTTTTACATCTGAATCATTTAAGAGAATTGGACAGCGTTGGTCAGTGGGGAACTTAACCATCTTCTACATGGTTTGAGAGTAGAAAGCATTCTTGTTTTAGAATTGGGAGACTCAGATTCCAAATTTTATTATTACTACTATGAAAGCCACTACATTTTGGAAATTTTCATTTTCATGCCTCTGAACTGAGTGAAAATATTGGCCCCTTGTATGAAGATAAAGAAGTCAACTTAAAAATGAAATATAGTTGGGTTTTTTAGGAGACAGTGGGGTGTAATAGAAAGAGAGCAAAGTCCTGGTTTTGTTGATGGACAGCAGTGTGATCTTGTGCAAGTAAATAAACCTCCTAGAGTCTCAGTTTCCTTGTTCATAAAAGGGTGATCATAATGTTCAATGAAGAAGGATGTAAGATGAAATTAAATAATAGACACCAGATGTTATCCAAGACAAAACTGAGGGAATAGCATTTATGTTTTTGAATAATTTTGTAGAATGAATTTATCCTTAGCAAAGGCAGCCTAGCCAAAAGCTGAAATAATTTTCTTCTGATTTCCCCTGCCTCCTATAAAGTTTTCTCTTTGAAATTTGATGCTTATTCTCCATGACCCTTAAGTTCTTTGGTTCTCTGCTCACCGTCAGGACACCGTCTTGAACGCTGCTGTTTGGCGTTAATGTTTTGAAAAGTGTGTCTTAAGTACGAAACTCTATGGCTCAGAAACCTTCAAACCTAACTGACTTTCAGTGACCAGTAAACTGGGACCACCGTTGTCCTCTCAGTGGGAATTTCTGCCCAAATGAGGAGATTTAGGTAAATAAGGAAGGTGGTTGCCGGTGGGAGGGGGTGACTCGCATAGAGCAGGAGATTAAAGCTGACTGCTGCAGCAGTGATAGCGAGGGGCTCCTCCTCTGATTCTCCACATTTGCTTGGTCTTCCAAAGGCCATTTGTAGGGATGAACATTACCAATCCCCAAGACATATTAAGCAAAAAATATTTCAGAAACCAAAGTAAAATGTCATAGCCCTCTGCCTGAGCTTTATCACCAGCCAAAACTTATTTCCAGACTCAAAATCTATATACTTTTTATGCACTTTCTTCAAGATCTGTCCATCTAAGGCAAATTAAAATGTTTGTGACCTGGGATGACCCAGTCAACAGGAAGGAGTACTCTGTCCTCCTGGGTGAAAGCTAAATGCTTTTGCTGATTGGATTCACCCCATTACTTTTACATGCAAAGCTTTCCCTAATTAAGGCCTTGCCTCTGGTTTGCAGGATGATGGGTTCCTGTGGGTCACCCTCATGGTATCAGCAGCAGACACTGGTCACATCAGGAGATCAAGTGTCAGGTGAATGGTCCTGAAAACCAAGATCCCATTTCTATGCAAATTTACCTTAATAAGCAGGATGGAGACAAGGAGAGGGCAAATGCTAGACATATTAGAAAATCACATACATTAGAGATGAAAAAAAGAATCTAAGCCATGCTCTAGAGATGACCTTGAGCTTAGAAAGATCTTCCCTACATTACATGTAACTCATATCAGGCCTGGATGCTTGGTCCAGGCTGGCTCTAAGTCATTCAGTGAGAAGGCTGGAAGCAGAAGGAAAATTGCTTCTGAATGGCGGCACTTTTCTCTGCCTTCCCCCAGGAGACAGGTGGTGTCGCAAAGCCAACAACAGAGGCACACTGCAGCGCTCCCCAGCTTGTAAAATTAATCCTGGCTCAGAAAACTCAATTAAACAGGCCCACTCTTCATGAAATCACTTTGAAAAAATTTGCCTGCGTCCCATTTCCATTTGTGAAATGAAATCTATTCAGATGCTGGTTGGTGGCAGAGAGATGCCCCGGCTGGAAGGGGTGGGGGGTTGCTCCGTTTTCCTTCAAATCACAGGGCTTTGCAAGCTCTTCCCTTGAATTTACTGTTCCCTGCTTCCCTAATAGCAGAGAACGGTAAATGTGCCAGCCCCAGGGGTTGGTCTTCTGTTTGATCATAAAAATGCATGGAAATTGATATCCTATTCCTTGCTATCTATTAGTTTTAATTTTGAAAAGTTAAAAATTACCACCCGGGAAAAAGAAAACAGAGCTAACACAGTTTATTCAGTATTTATCCATTTTGTTTGAAAGTCTGTACCTACCACTGCTACATACTGCATCTGCAAGGGAAAAGTAATAAATGATGGAGATAAAACTTGGTAGCAACAATTCCATGAGAGAAAAGGTGGGGGGTGGGACTGAGAAAGAAAGGGCAGCAGCCCCAAGAACGCAGTGGAGCCTTCTTACTGCTGTTTGCAGGAGAGTGCTCCTGACCTCAGGGGAACATGAAGACAGACACCTCTTCAGAGAGCCACACAGATGGGTTAAATGTGCTTTCCCTTCCAGTGATCAATCTTAGAAACGGCTGCATTGCTACCTGCCATAGTGTGAATGAGAAGTGACAGCATTCAGGTGCTGCTGTCAGCCGCTTCCCCCATTCATCCCAGGCCCGAGGATGGTACCATTTGTCCAGGAATCCCGCCTCTGAATCATGCAGGGCTTCTGCCCCAGGTGCTGGCTCTGTTTCCTCACCAGCCCTCTGCATCTCTCTCCCTCTCCTGCTTTACAAATGGCACGGAATGCCCATTAGCAGCCCTGAGATATAGATCACCCTGCATGCCAACAGGATGCCCCCAGCACGATTTTATCTGCCCTTATATTTCCATTTAAGTTTCGTGTACCACCAGAATCCCTGAAAAACAGTCAGGCTATATACTAGGGATGCTTATCTACTTCTAAAATATGTCACCACAGAGGATGAAAACAAAACTTGGGAGACAGTTCTTTAAAAGAGTCTGTATTTGAAAGCCAGAGTCAGGTGATGTGTTCAGAAGAAACACATAGTTCCATCAAAATGGTACCAGGGAAGCAACTTCTTGAACAATTTCAGCTCCTCCTAATTTGGCTATGAATAGCCACGGTTTCCATTTTCTGTATCTCTGAAAAAGAGCGTTGGCATAACAGCACAGAGCTATTGGAAGATTCAGGCTCAGGCCCCGGGGAAAGAAGGAATCCTGTGTGTGTGCTCAGTCGTGTCTGACTGTTTGTGACCCCATGGACTGTATCCTGCCAGGCTCCTCTGTCCATGGGGTTTCCTAGGCACACATGCTGGAAATTCTCCCCCTTTCAATCTGTCAGGCAAAGCCCCTCTTGGAGTCAGTGGGAAGGCAGCACTTCCCCACCTGCCCGCCTAAATTGACAAGGTCAGTGACTTTTCAGATGTGGGAAGCCTGATGCTGCCAGGAAAAAATGATGCTCGCTAAGCCTCACTGTACACAACAGATCTGTTCTTGAAGAGTTATTATGAAGAGAATATTTGTAAATGGAATCATATTAGTGTGCATTATGGAGGCTCATTCTACAAAGGAACCCCATGGTGAATCCCTTTATAAAATGAAAGGGAAAATTTTGTTATGCAAATAGCTACGTTTAATTTCTCTATTTTAAAGGCTGGGTTTTTCTTGCACTGAGTCTTAAAATGGAGCACACCTGTGTATCTCTTCTCCCACCTCACATGGTGGGTTAAATAAATATTAGTTTCTCCTTTTCTTAACCCTCAAATGCTTTGTAAAAACCTATATATATTGATATATAACATTTCACCTTGTAGTATAGACTCGTGTGTGTGTGTGCGCGCGCGCACATGTGCATGCACACACATGTGAGGGCTCAGTTGTGCCCAACCCCAGTACATGGGGCCTGTAGCCACCAGGCTCATCTGTCCATTGGATTTCCCAGGCAAGAATACAGGAGTGGGTTGACATTTCCTCCTCTAGGGGATCTTCCCCACCCAGGGATCGAACTCTCATTTCCTGCATTGCAGGTGGATTCTTTACCTGTTGAACCACTGGGGAAGTCCAAGTATAGACTAGTAGTCCTCCAGACCTTTTTTGCAAAGGACCAGAGAGGAGATTTTCAGCTTTGGGGACTGTACAGACTATGCCCCGACCAGGCGTATGTCCTTTTTCAGGCAGGTATCCCGAGAGAACAGTAAACCAGCAGGTGGAGCTGGGTTCCAATACAGATGGATGGCATCACTGACTCAATGGATGTGAGTCTGAGCAAACTCCAGGAGGTGGTTAAGGGAAATGGTGTGCTGCAGTCCACGGGGTTGGAAAGAGTCAGACACGTCTTAGCGACTGAAAAACAACAAGTTTTATTTATGCTCACCGAAACTTGAATTTTGTATAATTTTTACATGCCAAAAGATATTATTATAATTTTCCCCCACTGTTCAAAAAAGTGAAAACCATCTCATTTGTGGAAAAAATACATGAATCAAATTTCACCTACTGGCCATAGTTTATAGACCCAGTATAGTCTTTAAAATTTTTCTTTTCGTTTTTTAGAGAGTTTGGGAATAGGCTATTTTTATTTTATTATTTATATATTTTTGGCCATGCCCTGAAGCATGTGTGATCTTAGTTGCTGGACCAGGGATCAAACCTGTGCCTCCTGCAGTGGAAGAGAGGAGTTTTAACCACTGCATAGGGAAGTTCCATGTAGGTGTTTTTAGCTATATCCTATCTCCCCTGGTA